CCAAACCCAAAAACCCCCAAAAACAAAAAAAAAAAAAAAAAAAAAAAAAAGGGGGGGGGGGGGGGCAAAAAAGGGGAACCAGAACAAAACCAAGAAACCACAAAGGACCAAAAACAAAAAAAAAAAAAACAAAAAAAAAACAGACAGAAAAAGACAACAGACAACCAAAAAAAGACAAAAAACAAGACAAAAACAGACAAAAACAGACACAAAACACAAAAACCCCAAAACACAAAAAACAACCCCACACACACACACAAAACCCCACACACACACACCCCACCCAAAAACACACACACACACACACACACAAAAACCACACCCAAAACCCCCGCCCCCAGCCAGCCCCTGACCCCCCACCACCCCCTGACCAGCTAGCCCCGCCAAATTGTTTTTCCCAAACCCACCCCTTCCCCCCCTAAACCCCCCCTGCCTTTCCCGTCACCCCCCACGGGGGGAGTGAGGTTTTCTTTCTCCTTACTCTTGGCTAAGTGACAAAGGGGACCTGATTTTTTCCCCCCAAAAATGCCTTGCTTTTCATAGATTTTTTTTCCCACTGTGCAAAACTTTCCAAAATAAAACCCCTTCTTTCACATGTAGGCCTACCAACCTTTTCCCGCTTTATTTGGGAAACCTTGGGAAATTTAAAGGTACTAGACAACAAAACCCCGGCGCATAAAAGACGTACTAAATACGTTGGGAAAAAAAGAAAGGGTTAAGTAATCTGTAAGGGACTAGGAAATTTGTCTGGGCCCGAAAAGCCCGCATGTTAGTGCCTTTTTTTGTCCTATCGCATGCTTTAAACCCCTTTTAGGGTCACAGGGCCCCTCCCCAAACTCGTTCTCAGGGGGCCCCGGCCCCAAAATTTTAAAAAAAAAAAAAAAATTAAAAATTTTTTTAAAGAAAAAAAAAAGAGGTTTTTTTTTTTAAACATTATAGGTTTTAAAAAAAAAAAATTTTACCAAACAATACTTACGGTGATATGGATGCATGAAGTTTGCAGAAAATGAGCCGCGTATGGGAAAAGCGGCGGGCTGCCCCTAAACCCCCAAACTTTTATTTACTTTGGGATTTTAAGGTTTTTTTGTTTTTTTTTACTAATTTTTTTTTTACATAAAATTATGTGGGCCAAAGAGACCAAAGTAAAGGGGGCAAAGTACATAAATACACTCTTTTTATACAACACAATAAGCACAAAAATAATTATCAATATATTGTTTACAAAACTTGTTTTTCAAAAACAAAAATACAAAACATTTTTTTACTATTATTGTTCTATTTTTTTTTTTACCAAATAAACGTCACTGAACATATTCCTATTTTGTTTTTGCAGCTTGTGGAACTCGGAAAAAATGGTTTTCATAAAACAATGGTGTTTTATCCTTTTTCCCTCATTCTAAACCTTTCCCAAACTTCCCCCTCTTTCTATTTTGGGCTGTCTTTCTCTGTCTCACAGGTACACATAAATTTCAAAGGGATAAAAAAGTTTTAAAAATTTCCCCAGGATAACCCAAAAAATCAGACCCAAAATGCTTTACTCTGCTTGAAAATGTGAGTTTAAAAGTGATGGAACAGTCTTTTGGCTCTCTGAGACGGGGTAGCGGGGGAGGCCCGATAGACAGGGAGCTTTACAGGAAAAGAAAAAATAAAACAGGGCAGGGAAAAGTTAGGTACCCGAAAAAAGTGTTTCTAAATGTTCCACCCTCCTCCCCCTTCTTCCCCCTTCCTCCTCTTCCCCCTACTCTTCCCCTCTTTCCCCCACTCTTCCTCATAAATCTTCCTCTTCCTCCTCTTCCTCTTCCTCCTCTCCTCCTCTTTTTCCCCCTCCCCTCTTTTTCCTCTTCCCCCTACTTTCCCCCCCCCTCCTCCCCTTTCCCCTTCCTCTTTCCCCCTAATTTTTCCCCCTACTATTCCTCTTCCTCCCCCCTTTTTCCTCTTAAACCTCTTCCTCCTACTCTTCCTCCTCCCCTCTTCTTTCCCCTTTTTCCCCCCACTCTTTTCCTTCCCTTTTCCTTTTCCCCCTCGTCCAAGTGTTAAAAATTTCAAAAGGGGTCGGCAGCTGTCCCCAAAAAGGGCATATTGGCTCATTACTCTTTTCCCCCCCTGGCCGGGCAAAAAAAATTTTGGGGGGGATGCTGCTTCCCCCCCTCCATTCTATCTAATTAAACTTTTTTCCCTCATTCAACTGTTGTCTATCTCGGGCCAAAGGAAAACATAAAACAAGTATACATAGTATTAAAATTTCCCAGGTAACCCCAAAAAACCCAAAAAAAAGTGCAAAACTCTTTCTTTTAAGATGTGAGGGAAAAGGATGACGGGAGTTTGGGCTCTTTGAGACAGGAGCAAAATGGATAGACAGGGGGCTTGCAGCAGGGAAATAGAAGACAAAAAGTTAATATACCGCAAAACAAAGGGAGGGGGATGTTCATCTTTATCTTTTGGGATCAGCTCCCACCCCATTTTTTCCCCATTAAAAAGTCCGCATTATCAGATGTTATATTTCCCCCTTTTCTTGTTACTTTTATGGGTGAACATTTATTATTTTCATTTTTTATAAAAAAATTTCCTATTATTATGTATTATTATTATTATGTTTATTTTTATTATGTATTATTTTTATGTATTTTTGGGTTTAAAAATTACGTATTCTTCTTCCCTCCTCCTCCTCCTCCCCTTCCTCCTCCCCTCCTCCTCCCCCCCTTTCCCCCCCTCCTCCTCCTCCTCCTCCTCCCCCTCTCCCCTTTCCCCCTCCTCCCTTTCCCCCCTCCTCCCCCCCTCTTCTTCCTCCTCCTTCCCCTTTTTTCTTCCTCCTCCTCCTCCTCTGCCTCCTTTCCCCCTCTTGCCTCTCCCCCTTTGCCCCCCTCCTCCTCCCTCCTCCTCCTCCTCTGCCTCCTCCTCCCCCTCCATTCTTGGAAAAGTTTGAAAAAGCTTGTATTTTTAAACACTATCATTACTCACCAATGCCCCATCTGAGTCTGGGATTTTGGAAAAAAGGGGTTTTTCCCCTTTGATTTTTTGGTACAAAATGAACGACAGGTTTTCCTCTTTTATTCTTTGGGACAAATGGGAACGACGGGCCCCGCCCCAAAGGGTTTGGGGGGCTGTGGGTTGCTGGGTTTTTTCCCCACTATTACCCCTATTATGGTCATTAGTTTTTGGTCAAAAAACCTAACCCGAACCCCTTTAAACCATCTTCACTGTCATTCCCCTCCCGTAATTTGAAATTTCAAATGGGGAAAAAAAAGGGTCCCAAATTTGCCCAGGGGTTGGGGAAATTCTTACCCCAGGGGAAAGGTGGAAAATTTTGTACTATGATGGTTTCCCCCAATTTCACCACTGGGTTCCCCGATTTTTTTCCAAAAGTGGGAACCCACCCCACAGGGCCCCCTTCTCTCAATCTGGCTTAAAAAAAACCTTTTTTGCGAGATTTGAGGCCCCTAGAATTTATGCGTAATAGTACGTCAAAAACCCCTACGCGGGAAGACTTTCATTTCGACCAAAACCCCCAAAGGGTTAAATGGATTCCACATTTTAACCTATGCCCAAAAAAAAAAATTGTTTGGGTTTGTTTTAAAACTCAAGGCCCCTGTTTCACTAGCACAGAGGGGCCTGGGTTTTTGCAAAATACCCTAATTTAGGGTAACCAGCCTTGCTGGGTCAAAACCCTTTGGGGGGATGGGGGTTTTTCCCCCGAATGCCCCCAAGTTTTCTATAAATTTGTCAGCTGGGTTATGTCCCCTCCTGTTATTGTGATGATGCTGTCAGTCTCTTGCCTTCCCTTGTCTTCTTTCGCCATAGGTTATCGCCCCCACCACATGAAATACATGAATAATAAGCAACCTCTCCCTTTAATCTTTTCCTTTCCTTTTCCTTCCATATCACTGGATCCAAATTAAGCATTTCCCAGATGTTCCAGTGGCTTAATATTGCTTCTGCATGGGACTTCTTTACTCTATCCTCACCTTCAGTTCCTTCGCTGTCCGCTGATGTTCCTGTTTCCAGCACCTTGCTCCTATCGGTCCTTTTTTCTGTATCCCGTTTCAGCACTTCCAGTTCCTCAGCCAGGCTCTGTATCTATGCTTCAGCAGCTACAGCTCATAATGCCCACTTCTTGCTCTCTCTAGATATATTCTCCACCATTGTGTTGCAAAACTCATTTAGCCTTTTTTCCCAATTTAGTTCCATTGCACTCTTGAGTCTTGCAGCCCATGCTTTTTCAAACTAGCCATTCTTAGTTCCCCATGTGTGTGTATGTGTGTGTGTGTGTGTGTTTGTACATTCTCACCTGTTTGTGGTTGCAGGGGTTGAGTCTCCTGCATGCGTGTGGTGTGAATGTGCGAGTATTGTATAACTTTTAGTTCAAATGGTGCTGAATGCTGTCAAAGCACTTAAAATATCACAACTGCTACTACTAAATGGTCAACCTAGCTACTTTTTTTTGTGTTGTGCCACCATAATTACACTTTTCTTAATTCTCTTTTGAATCCCCCCATTCCATAGGTACTGTATGACCTCCATGGGTTTAGTGGGTTTAATGCTTTCCTAAGATTAAAATCAAATGAATCTTCTAGAAAAGTTAGTCTCTAACAAATAATTTAAGTTGCATTAAAAGGGCTTAATAGATTTCATAAGAAACTTAACTGATTGTGTGCATGTGATTTATTCAACACTTAACTTTTTCCACAATACCGTATCAAACTAATTGAGTACTGTGTCAGTCAAGATGTGTCGTATTGTAATGATTATTATTTACAGTTTACTTCACTTGTATATATTTTATAGTAAAAATTTCACCAATGTTATTCAATTTAAAAAATAATATTTTGGCTCATTTGAATTATGATGTCTGTGTACTTCCATAAAGACTCCTAGGAAATGAATGATGGTAAATGTGTTTTTATTTTCTGGAAGATTTTGCCCTGGTGAGAAATGGCTAATGTTTTGTAGCAAAAATTTGTGCACCAAAATTAATCCACTCTATACTGTAATTGTGCTTTCAGTTGCTTCGAGATACACAGTTTCATAGTGGCTATGAAGAAGATGATGAGACTGTATGGTTACCCTGTCAGCTACTGTCAACTATGCAGAGCCTTCCTTTACATTCAGAAGACACACAAGTGGAACTTCTTAAGGTAAATTACGTATATGATACGTGACAAACCACTGTGTAACACATGTATGTGATCCTGTAGCATAAGGTAACTAGATGCTAAGATCAGCGTTTTCCCCACATCTTCGGGCTTTCTTGACCTCTCTCTTGGTGAATCTGTTTTTTTATTTTTTTTTTTTTTTGTGTGTAATAGTATTTTGGACATCTGACAAGAGAGAGAATCCTCAAGATTGACATAAATGACTTCAATCACTTCTGGTGACTTCCATATAAAATTGCCTCTCACTTGCTCTGATTTTATTGTACGTATATTGTTGGTGGTGTTTTTTGTGTATAGTGCTGGCACACTAGATGGTGGGTGGACACCTGGTAGTGCTCTCATTTTCACTGGTTCATTATGCTTCTTTGTTGGTGAGAGGCTGAAATGTATTATTATTATTGTATGTCTTTGTGATATCTGTTAGGTTAAACCTGTGGAATTTGTTAATTCTCTACCCATTGACCAACCTATGGTTATAAGAGAGATGTTATAGTATAATCTTTTATAGTCAGCTCATATCATAATATTTTGCTCTTATTTCTTACTACTATAAGCTGAAGAAAGTTAAGCTACTGTAATGCAGTGATATTCCTGGCAACCTGTATTAAACTATATTTACCCCCCTTGCCTATTTCCTAAATAAATTTATTTTTGTAATAAAACACTTTTATAATTATCCTCCTGGAGTTAATTGAAGTACAGTTACTGTTGTTTGTTTTCATTACTATTACTTGCATTTTGATAACTCTCTTATTATGGTCAACATAGAGTCCATGCTTGAGGGAAGAGTAGCCTTGATCCACCAGACAGTGTTGTCATGTAATAACAGGGGTTCAGAATGTACCAAAATTCATCCTCAGGTTCCTTTCCCAGGTGCAGGTTTTTGGTGAATTTATCCTCTTCCTCCACCTTCTCTTCTTCCTCTTCTTTCTCTTCTCCTCCTCTTCCTCTTCCTCTTCTCCTCCTCCTCCTCTTCCTCTTCTCCTCTTCTCCTCCTCCTCCTCTTCTTCTCTTTCCTCTTTTCTTCCTCTTCTCTTCCTCCTCCTCCTCTACTTCCCTTCTTTCTCCTTCCATTCTCCTCTCTTTCCTCCCCTCCCCCTCCCTCCTCCCCCCTCCTTCCTCTCCCATCCCCTCTTCCCCTTCCCCACCTTCCATATTTTTTAAAGTGCCACATTTTAAATGTTCCAGCTATGCCTGAATGATAGCATAAATATTGCAGGTTCTACTGAACATGTGCTGTGTGTCAGGTATTCCCATCTCAGGCCAAGTGGTGACACAGGTGGTAGGGGTGTGGTGGTCTGGCTTATGTAGAGGGAGGAGCTCTTCGTACGCTGCACAGTCTGTGCATCTCAGGCTATTGCCCATTCATCAAGCAAACTCAGTGATTTCCCCACTGTGATGCATTCTTTGTATACACATGCTCATATCTACACTTATTCTTGTTAAGATGCAGTATATGGACATGATTAAAGATGATCCCAGTAGGTATATTAAAATGCTGTATAACTTAGGTGCTAAAATGTGTTTGGAACAGTACTTAACTAAAATAATGATGTTATGGGACTACTGTTGAAATAGAAATGTAATCATAATTTCTATTAATAAAATTGTTGAAATTGAGTGAGTGAATCAACAAGTTGAGTAAACTGCCTAAAATTCTGAGAATAAGCAAAGCCATCAGTAAAAATGTGAACAATCCATGTCTTAAACCTCCCATTCAAAAGATTGCTAAAAAAAAATTCAAAGATTTCAGTCTCATCTCACTTGTTAAACTGGTAATTAAATGAAATATGGTTAAGAAGTTAAGTTACATATAGAACCTCAAGACAGAAGAGGAAATTTTTTGTAGTTTAATCCTCGATATTATATATGTTGTGGATTTTGTATTTGGGCATTACAGTTGTAGTTTCAGTATTAGATATTCCATTTCATACAAAATAAAGTAAGTTGTTTACTTTCCATAATACAGTTGGACCCCGGTTAACGATATTTTTTTACTCCAGAAGTATGTTCGGTGCCAGTACTGACCGAATTTGTTCCATAAAAAAATATTGTGAAGTAGATTAGTCCATTTCAGACCCCAAACATACACGTACAAACGCACTTACATAAATACACTTACATAAATTGGGCGCATTCGGAGGTAATCGTTATGCGGGGGTCCACTGTATCTACATTTTATGGAATCTATGATTCAGTACATCAGATCAAGATTATTTGTTTATTTTTATTAAAACAAATCCCAAATCAAATTGTAATATGCTGTAAGTGTAATGTTAATTAGGTTTCTCAGTATGGGGATATCTTATGTTTTTTTAAAATTCTTATTTTTCTATCTTTGTAGAAGAAGAAAGTGAAGAACAAAAAAAATCTTAATTAATAAATGCAGAGAGGGAAAAGGGGGAAAGCTACGATGAAAGAACGGATGTGATGATACAGAATACATGCTCCTGCTTTCGATGAAATCGTACCTGTTATAAATCTGATTGGATAAGCTGGTTGAAGCTAATAAGTAAGACAGTAGTATATTTATTTTCCAACTTTGTTCTTTTCATATGCAATATGTTGCATTTATTTAATTTGCATTTATTTTTAACTGTTTGAGCTAGAGCTTGCTGCAGCAATGCAGATGAGATTCTTCTGTAAAAATCTGCATCTTTAGTCACAATAGGACCCATGCTAACCTTTCTAATGTGTATAGAAATACACCTAGTTGGATGAATCTTATTAGGCCAGTATGGTACAATAGTTAATGGATTGGCTTGCTAGTTTTAGGACTGGCTTACCAAGGGGTTCAAGGTTCATTTCATTCATTGAGTTGTTGGCGATCATGTTATGATTTCAAGTAGAATAGATTTTTAAAATGCTGTACATGACAATTTTCAGTAATGACTTCTGCTTATGAGAGAATAATGGTACAGAACTCTAATCTTTTTGGAAAATGTGTAGGGCCTTGGTCAGGGTTATCACCCAGGATAACCCAAGAAAGTCAGTGCATCATCGAGGACTGTCTGTTTCATTTCCATTAGGGTCCTTCAGTCTTGTCCCCTAGGATGTGACCCACACCAGTCAACTAACACCCAGGTACTTACTGCTAGGTGAACAGGAACAGCAGGTGTAAGGAAATATGCCCAACATTTCCACCCATGTTGAGGATTGAACCATGAACACTGTGTGAGGCGAGAGTGCATCCAACCAAATCACGGCATTAGAAAACCCGGCATGGCCGAGTCTTTAAATAACAGGCAGCCTGACTTTTACATGACTGTCTGATCAGTAATAACACTTCATTCCCATCATCTGGAATAAAATATTTGGGGGTACCTGTCTGTGGAAGGTGGGAAAATGCCTCTTAGTTGCTGGATCGAATCTCTAGACTCTGTAGGCTTTGTTCAAAGGCTATTGTTAGGGAAAAGTATGATCACCCTTTATAAAAAGATTGATACGTGGACCCCGCCACTCATAACGATATTAATTCCGTTCCTGAAGAGCTCAAATGTTATGCGAAAAATTATCGTTATGCGATTTAATTTTCCCATAAGAAATATTGGAAATCAAAGTAATCCGTGCAAGACACCCAAAAAGTATTGAAAAAAAAAAAAAATTACCACATGAAATATTAACCTTTGAGGGTTCGGCAGGCCTCCAGAAACCGTTCTTCAGGGTCGGCCAATTTAAAAAAATAAAAAATTTATTTTTTCCTTATGAAAAATATTTTTTTTTTTCTAAACATTATTTGCTAAACAAAAAATTTTTTAACCATCACTACTTACCGAGATATGGAGACGTGAAGTTTGTCAAAAATTGATACAAACATACTGGTAACATCGCCCGGATGCCGTCACCCGGTAATTTTCTATTTACTTTTTTATGTACTATTTTTCAATTATTTTTAAATGTTTCTTTTTCTGAGTAACTTTTATGGCCTCTGAGACCAATATGATCAGTATTTTGTAAGTATTTCTTTTTCAATACTACACAATATAGGGCTGTTAAAACACTGTGTCATTATTTTGTTTATAGAAAAATATTTACACAAACAAATGAATATGAAATGTTGTTTATTACTATTTTTCTATATTTTATATTACAACAATATACAGTCACAGGACATGTTTCTAGAAGTTCTGCTGCCTGTGGAAGTCTTTGAAACTTGTCATCAGTGTCATGCCACAGTGGTGTTTTACATTCCTCACACATAAACGAGTGTCTCTGCGTGTTCATGGGCTTTTTTTTGGATGTGTACAGACGTAACCCTCTTTTGAGCCTTTTTTATTGAAAGCAGAGTTAGCAGGCAGTTTTACTAGGAAGTGATCACCATGGCTTCTGACGAGCAGGTGTTGTTGATAATGGTGGGTGGTCAATTGAAGTGTTCTTCTTTAGTACTTGAATTACTATTGTCTGATGCAGGACAAACAGAATTTGCCGTAATGTGGTTTGTTTCTGGTCCTCATCATTATACATATTATAGATAGAGCATGGAAATGTTCAGAAGATGGAAAAGAGTTTGTTGTAACCACTTATAACTCTTGCGAGCACAATCAGCAAACCCAATCTGCATGTCACATTTGTTCCACTGCAACGCATGTTGAAGGTGTAATCAATCATCAGCTGAAGGCTTTAGACTGGGGTTCATTGCTCTCTCTATGCTTGCCTGCCACTGCTGCCATTTCATTAAGGGTGAATACTGATGACTACAGTGTGACATTCGTTTGTCATGCACCGAAATAAATGCCATGATGTCATTGGCAGCAAAGCCTGCAACTCACCTCTACAAGTGCCAGCGGTCAAACCTGCGGCATTTGTTTCCAATTTGCACGCACTGATGCCACACCATCTGATCATGTTTCACTCGCAAAAATCACTGAGTGAGGGGCCTTGTGTTACCAGTTATCCGTAAAATAATTTATGCCCCTTACAAGGTATGGTTCTATCATTGTTCTAATCACATCACCAAAGGTGCCCAATAACTTTCCTGGTATTTTGCAATATTAACTTCAGTGTACACAATAATATCCAATAATCAGGACCACTATAACAATCACAAAGCACAAACAACTTGTATACCAAAAGGCCGTTTCCTCTTGGCTTGGTATATATGCTTGAATCGACAGAGTTTCCTTTGAAACAGAAATCAAAGACTGTCAATTACAAGCTTCCTGAAAGGAAAAAAATGCGTACTGAATTTCTTCTTTAAGATACCACATAAACACATTCCATAATCTTATATAACTGTCGTTTCTGTCGGCTGGTTTGGTCTGAGAAGTGAAGGCATACGTAACATTAGCACCAAATCAATTCACTGGCATTATATCACTGAAACCTGGTGGTTGCATTCAGCGTCTGTTGACAGTATGATTTCACTTTGTGCTTATACACATGTGGCATAAGCATTATTGTGGCAAAGAAAAGATACATTCTCAGCCACAGTTGCATCCTTCCACTGGTGTAGACGTGCATTTTGGTGAAAAGTAAATGTGTTTGCCATGGTGTTTTTTTGTACTCGTAGTATGTTTGCTTTCCATGACAATACGTTCCATCATAGGAGTCGATCAAAGAATAAACCGGAAACATTTCCAGTTCAGTGGCAATTGTACCAAGTGTACAAGATAGCCGTATTCCACTTTGGCTGTCATCTAACTGGTGGGGATTTGGAACAAAAATTGACAGCTTCCTGCCATCCCAGGTGCGCCGGTCGCTGGTCGGTACTGGACAATGACAAGTGGTTTGTTGTGGGGCTGGTGTTGGGGGTGGGTGGGGGCTGGTGGCCTTTGTTAACCTTTGTAGATCAGCATGAGGCAGCGGGTGGGTGCAGCTTGGCACCATCTCTTGGTCCTCACCCCGGCACCACTTACCACCACAACATTTTTCATCCCATTCTGCAAACAGGATCATTGTCATTTTTCACTGTCTGTAGTTCCTGTTGTTACAGCCACGGGATGTACTCTGAGTTGTACTCCTTCCCCTTGGATATAGCATATGGCACACTACAGAGCGCAATTAGTCGTATATACTGACGCTTCATGGGGAATATTGCACTTCACTATTACTACTGGAACTAGTTTGAAGAGCTTGGTAGTTATATTCACATCACTTATCACCACAAATGTTCTAATTAGTTGGGATTTGGGGAAAAATAGAAGTTTCTCTTGGGATTCTGGTACCAAATGAACGTGAAACAAGACGGGCCCTCCACAGAGGTGGAAGGTGAGGGTCCTCGTTCTGAGGTTTTCCTACTATTACCGAGTTATGGACATTAGTTTCGGTCAAAACCTCACCAAAACTTGAAACTAATCTTCATGCACTTTTCATCTGTATTTGATCTGTCATTAGGAACAAAAAGTGTCACTCGTTCACCGAGGCAGTGAGGAGCATCTTACCACGAGGATGGTGGACATT